GGGTGGGGGTCCAGGTGTAGGTGGTTTGGGCTCAGTGGAGAGGGTGTCTGGGGGGGGCTCATCAAGGTGGTACAGATGCAGGGGAGGTGGGGCTTGTCAGGGTGAGGGTTTGATGGGCCTGCTTAACAGGGGAGTCCCAGCTGCTGCCAAGGGGATCCGCATGCTGGGGCCCCACTTTCCCTGCCCCCTTCTCTTCCCCATCCCATGCCCCTTCCCGCACCGCGCCATCTCCTCCCCAGGCTTGGGGGGCAGGGAGGAAACTGCCCCCCAGCAAAAGCCGGTGGAGCAGGCTGGGGCTGAGTTGCTCCACTTCCTGCCGCACAGTGATTGCAGGGCAGGCCCAACCCTGCACTCATGGGGTGGCGGGAAGTGAAGTGACCCAGCCCCAGCCCACTCCACTTCCCTGGCTCCCAGCCTTCGGACTGGGGGATGGGGGGAACTGCCCCCCAGCACTCACCGGCAGTGCACCTGGGAGCCAGGGGAGCAGAGCGGGCTCGGGCCGGGTCGCTCCACTTCCTGCTGCCCCATGAGTGCAGGGCGGGCCCAACCCCTTCTACAGTCCCCTGGGACGTTGCTCAGGGGAAGGGTGGGAAGAGGCAGGGCGGGGGTGGAGCAGGGGTGGGGCTGGGGCGGAGTAGGGGTCAGAAGAGGCAGGGTGGGGGCAGAGCAGGGGCGGGGGCTTTGGGGAAGAGGCGGGGCGGAACAGGGGCAGGGGCAGCTTTTCTGGCCGGGGATCAGGCTGACTCTGGGCCCGGTGCAATAGTGCTACTGGCGCCATGGTAAACCCGGTACTGCGCAGTGATGTCACTGAATGCAGCAGTTCCGGGGTAAGAAGAGGTCAAGGAAGCACGCTGGAGTAGGTAGGGAACCCGGTGAGTCAGACAGAGTATTAAAATCTGCCAAGGTGCAGAGATGGCTGGGGAGTTAGTGTGCACCGTAATTATAAGCCATTAAATCTTCTGTTATTAATGACTTGGATTGCTGTAGTACCTAGAGACCTCCAGGGCCCCTTGGTGCTAGGCACTGCACAGACAAACACAGTCCTGCCCTAGAGAATGTGAAGTCCAGGTAGAAAGGGAGCTATGGGGCTGATCCCACTGAAATCTAAGGCCTTGTCTACACTACGAGAGTAGTTCGATTTTACTTGCATCGAATTTTTGTAATCGATATTGCAAAGTCGAACGTGTGTGTCCACACTAAGGACAGTAATTCGCCTTTGTGGGTCCACCCTAACGGTGAT